TGGGAGGCCGTGGTGGGCGGATCACATGAGGTCAGGAGCTCCAGACCAGTCTGGTCAACATAGCGAAAACAACATGGCGAATCTCTACCCAAAAAAATACAAAAATCAGCCAGGTGTGGTGGCGCGCGCCTGTAATCCCGGTTACTCGGGAGGCTGAGACAGGAGAATCGCTTGAACCCAGGAGGCAGAGGTTGCAGGGAGCCGGGATCGCGCCACACTACTCCAGCCTGGGAGACAGAGAAAGACTGTCTTTAAAAAAAAATTATTAAAGACTTATCAGAAAAGAGTACATCTTTCTCCTGGTTAAGAGTCAAAAAGTTATCAGTGCCTACAAATTAATCCCTCTTCTGCGGTAGAAAAATTTCAGCGATTCTGCACGTCAAAGCAAACAAGGTAAACAAAACCACTAATTACTAAAAACCTTTTGGATTTAGAAACCTAACCGAAGCAAGGGTGAGACTACGAATCACGGCTTTGGCTTTAAGTCCCTGTTGTACTAAGGCCGATGTAATCACTTCGGTCAAGTCCCTTTGCCTTTGGCCTCAGTTTCCTCATTTGCTAACGCTGGGCAGGGAGAAGAGGGTCAAACTACTGGGCATCCGAGATATGGAGGGAAGGGCGGAACAGAGGTGAGACACCCGACCCGATCGCGGATGTTGCAAGGCTCTGAAGGCTTCAGCAAGCCAGGCAAGCAAGGCCACCCAGACTCCTTGCTCCAGCGGCCCCGGGGCCTGCCTAAGCCGGGGGGCAGGAAGGAGGGCCGAAGGGCCTGACCCCTTCCTTTGCTCCTCCTTGACTTCCTACCTTTACTGCATACAATTTGCCGCCTTTCTGCCCCAGATACACTTTCCCGAAGGCGCCCCGGCTAATGGGCTTCACGATGCTGAATTCCTCAATGGAGGGCGGTTTTGGCACCGAGATTCTATTCACGCCCTCCTCGGTCGCCGCGCCTCCTCCAGCCTCCTTCTTGCTTCCCGCAGTGGGCTCCATCGCTAGCCAGCCTACAGCAGTCCCGCGGCCGCGGCCCCCAGCCCAGCAGCCACTCCCGCCAACTGTGTTCAAAGTGAGG